GTAGGTATTATTTGTATACTTGGAGCCGTAGGGGAATAGTTGAGGTCTAGGCAGGGTTTCGGGTTTTGTGTTCTGGGTTCAGGCCTGGGGTGCCGGAATGAGGGCTTCGTGTTTGGAGTGAGGGTTGTGAGTGTAGGGTTTAGGATTGAGGGTTTGGGCCTTAAGAAATAAGAAAACGGCACAAACCCTTAACACGAGCCAAACAAGTCTGTTGTTCTACATCCCTAAATCCTAAACCTATACCCTAAACCATATACCCTAAACCCCAAACCCTAAACCCTAAACCTTACATTCCTTAACCCAAAGCCTGGAGCCCCAACTTTGAGCTGTTCAGGCAGAGACTTGCCTCCGCGTGCGCTGTTTGAGGAGGCCTGGGGTGAGCTGAGGTGAGTTTAGGGTTTAGGGTTTAGGGTTTAGGGTTCAGGGTTTAGGGTTTAGGGTTTAGGGTCGATGGTTAAGGTTTTAGGGTCAGTTCAAAGGGCTGGCTCCGCCAGTAAGCCCTTTTCCCTTGCTTGGGGTGCTAGGTCTAAGAAACTAAGGCATACTTCACGTTGTTAAACGTTCTAGTTTTAAGTTTCCAGGGATCAAAGAGAAGTTGCCTGAGCCAGCTTCGCCCACTAACTGCAGCATCACTTCCGCCCCATGTCCACGAAACAATACTGCGCCTGCGCGTATTTCGTACATAGCCAGAATTTGGAATTCCGGGTGCCAGTTTAACGGTCAAAACCGAACTCCCGCCCCGACCCCCGCTAAAACAGGCTCATTTTCGCCCATGTACACAAAATGATTCTGCGCGCTTGGCCCGCATTTTTTCAAACAGTCAAAAAGGTGCCACACACTTTGGAGGTCCAGGTACCAAATACCCTAAACCCTAAACCATTCATGGCCAGGAGCTTGCGCCATCCAAGAAATTTGCAGTCCTCGAGGTGTCTGGGGTCTGCCTGGCTTGAGGGGCTTCTCTAAGGGTCTTAGGGTTTAGGTCTTGTTTAGGCTCTTGGGGTTTGGGGATGGAGTGGGTAGGCTTCAGAGATCTGGAGTAAGTGTTGACGGGTGATGCTGTTTATAGGATGCAAGAGTGAAGATTTAGAGGGTCTGTAGCTTGGTGAGTTGGGCTCATGAGTTTAGCATGTTGAGTTCAGATATCCAGGGATGGGGGTTCTTAGATTTTTAGGGTTTAGGGTTTAGGGATGCTATAAAGCTAGAAGCCTGAATGATTGACAGACTTTCCTTCAGAAGACTTCTAGAAAGCCAGTAGAACATACCCCAAAACCATACTCGCATTTTTAGTCCTCTGCATCTACATTGTTTGGGTTACCTTGTTTGAGGAGCCTGCATGCTGATCGCATTTGGGGTCCCCTAAACACTGCGGTGAGGTTACTTTTTCAGGCTCGCCTTGGAAGTCAAGTCCTTCTGCAAGAAGGGCGGCAGAAGCAAACCCTTAACTTTTGACCCTCAACCCTCAAGTTAGAACACTAGATCCTAAACCCTAAACCCTAAAAATCGAAGCCACACACTGTGCCCTAGAGGCTACAGAAGGGAGTTTGGTAGCTACTGCCGGACCTCGGAGGGCTAAAGCCTAGGCAACCCGCACGGGACTTCCACGGTTTGTAGAACCTCTTAGGGTTTTTAGGGCTTTTAGGGTTTAGGGTTTAAGGTTTAGGGTTTAGGGGTTTAGGGTTTAGGCTTGAGGCACTATACTTTAGAGTTTAGGCTTTGGGCTTTAGGGTTTAGGCTTTAGAGTTTAGGGTTTAGGCTTCAGGGTTTAGGGTTTAGGGTTGGGTACCCTTCCTCAAGCTAACATGGAAACCCATACAGGCCCTTTCTCAACGTACAGCATTCTTTGT